TCACTCCAAATCCAATGAGATTTGTTTTTACAGTGTATGTCCCCAGAACAAGGTCACCAACATGTTTTGAAGCCGCAAAAACAAAAGGCTGCAATTACTGCTTAATATTAAAATGGCACATACCAGTCAGAGGGAGGAACTTCTATCAACACGGCAAACAGAAAAAAAAGAGAGAGAAAGAGAGAAAGAGAGAGACGAAACCTTTTAAGTTCCCAATGAGAGAAAAGTTTGGCAGATTTTGAGGATTCTCGCGCGGCAAGAAATAGAAAAGTGAAAGGGGCGAACAACAACAACAAAAAAATAATAATAATAATACGGAATGATGAAATAAAAAAGAGTGAAACAATGTTGCAAACAGAGAGAGAGACAGAGGCAAAGAGTAAGTAAATTATTGAGCACGGAAAAATAGAGAGTTAAAAAAAAATGGTGGGAAAAAAAGGCGCCTGGTAAACCTTACATCTCCTGATCCTTTCTGCTCTCCTTGAATTGCTTTTACTCTAACACCCAGTCCAAAATGTAGGGAAGTCAGCGTTGAAACACTGGAACCTTGCCATCTTCTATGCAAGCCAGCCTGTAGGATTTCTCAGCTGCAGTCAGCCTGCAATACACTTTTACAGGAAGGGGGGGACGTAGAGAGAGGGAGCGAGAGAGAGAGAGAAAGAACGAGAGAGAGTGCTAAAGAGAGACGTATTGGATGTCTCTTTCCCCCCCACCAGTACCCTAACTTTTACCTTTTTTCCCCCTTTTTCTTTTCCTATTGCATTCTTTTTATGTTTTTTTATGTGCGACAAACCCCACTTGTTTTATTTTTCTTCCACTCGCTTGCCACTTTAGTGCCAGCTCTGATGTTGGCATGGATTTTACTTTTTTTTTCTCGCTTCTTGGCTGGGTTTTCCCTCCACCCCCCTCCTCTTCTCCCCTTACCCCAGCTCCTCCACCCCTTCCAAACTCTGTTTCTCTGCCCTGCCCTCTCCTTTTCTTTCTTTTCTCTTTTTTTTTTTTGCTCTCCTCCTTACCCACCACTTTTACACTTTTTTTTTTATTTCTTCCTTTCTATACTTTTGCTTTTGCCAACTGTCTCTCAGACTGCCCTTGTTCTTTTCGACGTTCCTCCCTTGTTTAAACAATCCCCCTTGCACTCTCTCTTTCTCTGTCTCTCTCTCTTTCTCTGTCTCTCGCCCCATTTTCCTCTGTCCTCACAAACACATGTTGTCCCTCTTTCTTTCCTCTCCCTTTAATTCGGGGATGGAGAGGGTGCCAGGCTAAAACTGTAGTCGTGATTGAATTATTAATAGGAGAATTACAGTAGTTTTAACATTGTGTAATCTTTGTGTGTGCCACAAAGGCAGAGGACAACAGGGGAGGAGAGGACCTGAAACCAGAGACGGCGCAGAAGGGGACAAAAAAAAGTTTGTCGTTTGAGTGCAAACTAAGCTGGCCGTGAGTAAGTCAGGAGAGGTGTACCATGGGAGAGGGGGTCCTGCAAAAAGGGAAGGTGAGACGACGGGAAGGGTGGGAGCAGAACGAGCAAAGAAACAGTTAAGAAAGTTGATGTCGGGGGCAAAGTTAAGTCACTTCTGCTGCAACCTTAATTCCCCCCTGCAGCATGAGGCGGAGGAATGCGGTCATATAACATGTGATAGGGCAGATTAAAGGGACAAAGGTCCCGGTGGGTGAAGGGAAAAAAAAAGGTAGTCGGCGGAGAGATTGCGTCCCTTGTGTGTGCTGGAGTGACACGGCACCTGGAATCTACTATTGTGGAGGGGCGGAGAATTAAAAAAAAAAAAAAGAAAGATGGAGGGCTTAGGTGAATAGGAGGAAAGGCAGACAGAGAAGGAGGAGGGGAGTGGGGGGCGGCTAATAAAAAGTGAGAGAGGACAGGAAGACGGGAGAATTAACAAAAGGCACTGGGGTGTTCAGGAGGAGGGATGGGGACACAGAGTACACAGAGAGAGCTGCAAGGGTTAAAATAGCTAGAGCGTGAGTATATGACTTATTAGGCACGGAGCAGATTAGTGAGGACACGAGAGAAAATAGATTGGGAGAAGAGTACGTTCAACCGAGGAGCGCGTGCATGAGAAACTTCACAAACTTTAGCAGCCCACAGACATGAGGCGGTCACATCGGGCCAGTGGCGACGGCAGGCAGGTGCCCACCGGCTGACATTATCTTAGGATGGGGGGCACTGATCAAGCAATTTAGAAAACCCAATGACACCAGCACTGTCTGACTGCCCTGCTAACCCCCACCCCTGCTCCACTGGCATTAACTTGTTGGATCGCAACAAATTCCCGGTCAGATGTGCAGCGGATCTTTTAAAGTTACAGCCATCATAGGTTAGGCTGAACTCTGGGATAAGCAAATGTTGTCTAAATACCAGAGCCATGTGTATTCTTACTTGAATCTTGGTCAGCTTTGTGTATTTCTTCCAGGTCTGGGCAGAACTCCAGTGTGAGACTTGGAGCGTCCTGTAATAAAGACCGCTCACTGCTGCTCTCTCTCCTTATCCAGAGAGACTGCTCTTGTCTCCGCCCCCTCCTTTAAAAAAGACCGCTCACTGCTGCTCTCTCTCTCCTTGTGAATGGTGACTGGTCTTGTCTCCGCCCCCTCCTGTAATTAAGACCGGTCACCGCTGCTCTCTCTCCTTATCCAGAGAGACTGCTCTTGTCTCCGCCCCCTCCTGTAATTAAGACCGGTCACTGCTGCTCTCTCTTCTAGTGCAGGGTGACTGGTCTTATCTCCGCCCCCTCTTTCTGCAGGCAGCCTGTAATTGGGCCCCTCCCACAGCTCTGCTTTCTGTACAGGCTATGTACAGCACAGTGATGATGTCCCTGCTACTTTTACATGCTAATATCTGGGTTTGCAAAGGCATCTGGCGAACGCAAAGTGGATTTATATCCTTTGTGGCTACTGAGGAATGTTAAAGTTTAAATGGTTTGTTATAAGCAGCATAGTGCTTCCGATACTCACCTTAGTTTTCTGAGTACATGCTCATCCACACATTCCCTCATTTATCTGCTGAATTGTTCACTCAGTGAGGGGATGCATGTGGACAGGTTTTCTACTTCCCTTCTAAACATGGAAATCCTCTTTTCTAATTATGTTCAGCCAGTCTTGTGATCCAGACTGCTCCTGTGGGACCACACTATTTGGCCAGTGACCTGACTTTTCTCTAGTTCAGGCCCCATGATGATAAATTGGACAATGAAGGAGCAGCAGCACATGTTTATGTATTCTCCTCCTGTAAGCATGTTCACAGTTAGACCGACAGCACTGTGCAATGTCATGGAGCCCTGCTTGGCTCAGAGTGCTGGAGCTCCCTCTTCCAGTCTCAGCTCTGCTGTGCAGGGAATTACAGGAAGTGGATATGAAAACATATTAAGGTATTAAAAAGACATATAACAAGTAACTGGACTGAATGGTGCTTTTTATCTGCCTGAAGTTTATCTTTAAAGTGGACCTGTAATTTGCCCATGCAGGGAAAAGTAATAGGTTCACTTCAACTTAGCCATACCCAGCTAATCATGTTCATCTTCCATTTGCTCCATCGCCAATCAATTCAGGTGGCAGGAATGAGGAAAGTCTTGTGTAAGCTATAAGTGGCTATGGACTCCCCATGTAACAGTAGTGATTGGTTCAGCCTTGTCACGTGGGGAGAGTCACATGTTCCTCCATAATCAGAAGCACCAGTAGGGTTGCCACCTGTCCAGGATTCAACCGGACAGTCCGGGTTTTGAATGTTGTGCCCGGGTCTCATGGCAGCTGAAACCCGGACACATGATGTTGGGCAGACAGGGGCAACCAAAATTAAGATGGGGCTACTAGCCCCCCACTAAAAATAGCCTTGACTGTGATATTTACATATGAATAAGCCGCGACTCATTATGGCAAAAAAAATTCTGTGCGTCGCAAGAGTGTTCGGGTTTCGCTGGAAGAAAAGGTGACAACCGTAACCACCAGGTATATTTTTACTTCTAAAAAACAGTAGTGCACCTCCTGGTATGTGAACTGTATATCCGCAGTGTGACATCCAAGGCACTGCTGCCTCTGACTGCTAGTCTCAGGAGATTTGGTGATATCACTATAATGCTGCTCACTGTTCTCCTTGCTGGAGGCTCTGACATGAGGAAGCAAAGCCCTGCCTCTAGCAAGATGGCCGCCTCCTCATAGAGAAAGTGCACACTAAGCCATGGTAAGTCCCATGATAGACCTTGTTTCGTACAGATGTGTCTCCTGCACTCCTTACAGCATCTAGACCCTTGGTTTCTCAATTGGTGGGTCCTAACCCAAAAGTGAGTCGCAACCCCGTGTTCAGTTGGTCACCGCATGCCCTCCACTTTTCTAGCTGAGAGGCTCCTTTGACTTTCCCTAGCACAGCACTGTCAGTTCTTGCGCCGAGGAGCCATATGCTGCCCGGTGGTGAGTGTCAGCTTGAGGTGGGGTAGGCTAGGGCTATGGCCGTGAGGGAGCTCCATCCATACATGCATTGCTTACAGCTCGCTCACATGTCCTGTAGAGGTGCCTGGAGTGGAGTGACATCACATTCTGGCTCCCGGCACCTCTACAGGGCCCGCAGGGGAGCTGTCAAGCAATGCACATGTGGCTGGAGCTCCTTCACCGCACAGCAGCCCACACTTTATTGCTATCACGCAGGGGCTAACTGTGAGTCGAAAATGCCCCAACACCAGCGAAAGTAAAAAATGACCTGTGCCTGTGATCAGGGTGGGAGGTAGGGAAGAATAATGTCCCATTGTTGGTGTTTGTGGAAGGAGTAGTGTGGCATTGTTTGTGTCAGTAGGAGAAATCATGTACCACCGTTGGTGCTAGTGGGAAGAATAGAGTTCCATCATTGACATAAGTAGAAGGAATGGTACCCCATCAATGGTATCAGTGAGAGGAATAGTGTCCCATCATTGGTGTCAGTGGGAGGCATAGTGCCCCATCATTGGTATCAGTGGGAGGAATAATGCCCCAGCATTGGTGTCACTGGGGGGAATAATGCCCCATCATTGGGGTCAGTGAGAGGAATAGTGCCCCATCAATGGTATCAGTGAGAGGAATAGTGTCCCATCATTGGTATCAGTGGGAGGAATAATGCCCCAGCATTGGTGTCACTGGGGGGAATAATGCCCCATCATTGGGGTCAGTGAGAGGAATAGTGCCCCATCAATGGTATCAGTGAGAGGAATAGTGTCCCATCATTGGTATCAGTGGGAGGAATAATGCCCCAGCATTGGTGTCACTGGGGGGAATAATGCCCCATCATTGGGGTCAGTGAGAGGAATAGTGCCCCATCAATGGTATCAGTGAGAGGAATAGTGTCCCATCATTGGTATCAGTGGGAGGAATAATGCCCCAGCATTGGTGTCACTGGGGGGAATAATGCCCCATCATTGGGGTCAGTGAGAGGAATAGTGCCCCATCAATGGTATCAGTGAGAGGAATAGTGTCCCATCATTGGTATCAGTGGGAGGAATAATGCCCCAGCATTGGTGTCACTGGGGGGAATAATGCCCCATCATTGGGGTCAGTGAGAGGAATAGTGCCCCATCAATGGTATCAGTGAGAGGAATAGTGTCCCATCATTGGTATC